TCTCTCTCTCTCTCTCTCTCTCTCTCAGGAATTCAATTAAGAGGGATACCCAAAGGTTTTGGCGGCAAACTTCATATAGTTATTGTATTCCGGAGCAGTACAGCTGACGCGCGCAATTTCTGGTGCACCAACGAAAAAATTATGCCGCACAAAATTCGGACCCTTTCCCACTTGTGGCGTCCCCATCCAGGCCCACCGTACGAGGGGGCAGGAGCAAGCCTGCCCCCCGAAAATCCTCGGGGGGCCGAAGGAACTCATAAGGTAGTACCCTTATGTTTTTCGCCATTTTGCCGCCCCCATGGAGGGCTGCTGATCTAAGTTTGAATTTTTCCGCATTTTTGGCACTAATGTTAGGGGTGGCAGATGGGGTTGGGTGTTGTTAGGAGATTATTTTCGCACCATCTCAATGGGACAATATTTGGAGGAAATGCCCAAAATAGGCAATAATGATGCAGCCGTAACTTCCATGGAGGTAACGGATCAGGATGATCTATATGGCGATAGAAAGCCCGGAAGCAGGAGAATACCAGGGACAATGTAAAGCAGAAGCCGCCGTATTAACTTAGCACTTTATTCCGGTTACTAACGGGTGAGTTAGAAGCGCGGCAGAGCGCTTTTCAATTCACGGCACCCTCCTCGACAAGAATAAGAGTGAGGAAGATGGAGGCCTCCACAAAATCGACCCAGAGCCCGGAAAGCGCATAAGGCACTTATGTTTTTCGCAAAGAATTTCTGCCCTGCGGCGCTGGCGCATAGCTTTTAAACGCGATTTATTTTTTGTACTCCCATAGACCTTAGTTTTTCAAAAAATTTCTGCCTGCGGCATAGCTTTCCTCGGACTCTTTAACACTATTTTTTTATCCTATAGGCACCGACGTTTTTTCAAAAATTTCAGCCTGCGCCGCTGTTTTCAGTTAATTTATCCGCAATTTTCGCTATGTTTTGCTGTCTGGGGCGCTCTCAGGACGCTGAGCAGGCGACCCGCCCCCTGCCCCGAAGCGCCCGAGAAAAGTAATTCATCAGGGGACCCTTATGAATCGTTTTCTGGCAGAATTTTTCTGCCTGCGGCGCTGCTTATAGCTGTTCGTAAGTCGGTTTTGGTGTTACGAAACACCATTTTTCGAAAAGTTTTGCATACAGCGCTCATTTTTCTCATTCGTTGAATCGCAATTTAGGTTTAAAAGTGCATTTTTGCCGCGGTTTGAGCTCAATCAAGTTTTTCTTAACCAATTTTGCAAAAATTTCGCCTGCGGCAGAGTTTTTAGAGTTTTACACCGTGTCTCCGCCATTTTACAAGAGTCTCGACGGGGGAGGTCGTCAAAAATTTTTTCGGTCCTCCGCCCCCCAGAAATTTCGGCCCAGGTACGGCCCCTGTCCTCCCACCGCAATGGCTTGCCACTGTGGCCTAATGGATAGCTTCTGGCCCCTACAAAACGTGGGTCCGGGGTTTCGACCCCCGCCCGCGGCGTGGTTTTGCTTTGAGCTCCAGAAGGTTGGGCATCCTTTATTACAGATTCGGGTCGGGCCGAGCTACGCGACAATGTTCTCCAGGATCTCCCCGAATGGAGCACGTTCAGCTATAGAAGCACAGCCATGGATTCGTGAAACGACCGCCCACCGATCATTACCAGAGGGAGACACGCTGTCGCAAAAACTCGATCTGGCGCTGCTGAGTAGTGCCTGAGTTTCCAATGATCACAGGTGTCAATCGGAGGCCTCTTGACAGGACAGGGGATATGTCTCCGAATTTGAAAAGTCCTCCAATTCTTGTTTTGATTTATGCGAGTTCTGCCAGCTCATCTTTTTATGTTATCAACTATAATAATTTTGGTGTAATTGTCAGTCAGTCTCAGTCAGTCTGAAAGCCAACTATAACTCGAAGGGAAAGGAGCCAGAGCTTGGCTCTCTTCCGGGTTCGGATAGAGCATGGTCAGAGACCGCTAAATGATCAAAATATTATAAAAAGTTTTCGTTTAAATAAAAATAATTAACTTTGAAAGTGGCGCCTTAATAAAACAGTGGGGGCCCCTCTCCCCGGGAGGCCACGCCCCTTTCTCTTCGCCCCTCTTCCCAAGGCCCTTCCCGCGCCCAGATGCATTTTTGAGTTACTTTAATACTTTTTAATATGTTTTAATTATGTTAATTCGTTATTTAAATCATTTAAAGTGTCGGGATGGATACTAAGTAGTTTTTTCAGGGGATTTCGGCTATGGGGGGTATCTGAAGCCACCAGGAAGGTATTTAGGTAGTTTTTGAAGGGGATTTCGGCTATGGGGGGTATCTGAAGCCACCAGGAAGGTATTTAGGTAGTTTTTTAAAGGGATTTCGGCTATGAGGGTATCTGAAGCCACAGGAGGTATTAGGTAGTTTTGAAGGGATTTCGGCTATGGGGGTATCTGAAGCCACCAGGAAGGTATTTAGGTAGTTTTGAAGAGGATTTCGGCTATGGGGGGTATCTGAAGCCGCAGGGAAGGTATGTAGGTAGTTTTTGAAGGGGATTTCAGCCACGGGGGGTAACTGAAGCCACCAGGAAGGTATTTAGGTAGTTTTTGAAGGGGATTTCGGCTATGGGGGGTATCTGAAGCCACCAGGAAGGTATCGCAGTCGTTTTTGAAGGGGATTTCGGCTATGGGGGGTATCTGAAGCCACCAGGAAGGTATTTAGGTAGTTTTTGAAGGGGATTTCGGCTATGGGGGTATCTGAAGCCACCAGGAAGGTATTTAGGTAGTTTTTTAAAGGGATTTCGGCTATGGGGGGTATCTGAAGCCATCAGGAAGGTATCTAAGTAAATTAAGTATCTAAGTTTTTGCAAGATATCGAACTTTAGGTATTTGAGGTGATCAGCGTGGGTACTGATGAAGGTAGAGATTTAGTGTGGTGGCGTAGAACATGGAGGGTAGCCCGAAGGCCAGCCGATTGCAGTCGCGAAGCGGCTGTAATCGGCTGGTTTCTGATGTTTCCTTTAAAACCAATTTTTGGGGCTTTTAGGCTTTTTGCCACCCAACGGCATCTTTTTCGAGGCCAGTTGAAAACAAATCAGTTTAAAAGGTGCTTAAACCTGTTAAATAGAAATTTCGAAATTCGCGGTGAATTTTGCTTTGTTTGGAACGACCATAAAAATTGACTAAAAATTGCAAGAATTTCGAAAATCGGAGAACATTTTTCTCACCGCCTCGCCGAGGGCTTTCGATTGATGGCTAAGTCATAAAAATCGAGGGCAAAAGCCTCTTTTGGCCATACTTCCACGACGCTCTACGACTCGAAAGAAATGCTACAGAGCACGCCGCAATGCTTCGACAGGTCACCGCTCCACAATCTGCAGTTGGACTACGTCAAGGAGTAACTTACTAGCCTTTTTCTTATCTTATTGAATTAGATTCCTGGCAGCGTACCACAGCCGTGGCATACCGACTTTTACGTTTTTCTGGAACGTCGATCTGGCACATGAATATCTGAATACCCTGAAAGTGGCGGACAGCGATTTGGCGGGTGGGTGACTGTTTGCTGCTCTTTATTTTCATTGTGTCGGAATTTCAATGCATTTTGTTCGCAAATCGATATTTCCGCGCATTGAAAGGTCGACAAAATGAAGCGAAAAATGCTTTTCGACAAATTGAGAGTCAATCGTATGCTGTCTCTTTTTATGCAGTCATTCATCATTTTCAGGTTTTCTGCAGGACAACCAGGAACTACTCGAGAACACGATAGTCCTCATGATATCTGACCATGGTAACCGCTACGACGCGATTCGAGAAACGGTATTTTGCCTTTTTGTTCTAGTTCGTTAGCGGGGTGTGTGTTTACTGGTTATTTCCAGATTTTTCAGTTTTTTTTTTGCTATTTTTCGGGACTATTTCCACGCGATCCGATGAAGCGTCCAAAAATATACTAAGTATGCCAGCTCAATATAATCGATTCTCAAATAGTTATAGCAAAAACAAAATAACCTTTAAAATGAGGTTGGTAAGTTAGTTTTGGATGTTTCTGAAATATTTTGGCATTCTGTTAACGCTGTTTCATAAACCATATAAATACGATAGGTTTTAATTTACGGCGAAAAATAATGTGGTTCGAAATAAGAGAAATTATTGACGTAAAATGTTTGCTCCGGACCCCCCACTAACGAACCAGAACCTATCTTTCTTACCCATTTAGCTATTTATACTATAGATTGTCGGTCGTCTTGAATCCCGAATGCCGATGCTGTCCATTAAACTACCAAAGGTTTCCCCGATTAGCAGCATAGTTTAATTTTTATCCTTTCAGAAAATGATCACCAAACATCCACACCTCCTCGCCAACCTCAAGCACAACGCCAAGGTGTTCACCACCCATTTCGATACGCACGAACTTTTCAACGACGTGTTGCTGGTATTTTTGTGCCACCCTATTTGGACCAAGTCGTTGCAGAACAACTACGCCTACGCGTCGAACAGCTCGAGGAGCTTTTCGTTGCTCGGAGAAGTGCCGGCGAATCGCACGTGCAAGCAGCTGAACGTGCCGGATTCGTGCGTTTTTCTCGTTGTTTTTTTTTTTTCTTGAGAGTGTCCCAAACCTGCCTCACAGCCTAGCTGCCCGTAGGCTGTCCGATTTTACGATTTAGGCATCTATCGAGTCGTCGGAAAGGCAAGTCCAGCACGGTTTTGGATTTCCGAAATTCCGGAATTTTTATTTGCTCGATTATTGCCATTTTTCATGCAAGAAGGACAAGCATTTTTGTCGAAAGCTCAATTTAGCCGGTTTTAAGCGCCATCTAGGCTGTGTCTCTTACATAGCTTTCAAATGCTCGGGTGCGTCAAACTTCTATTTTTTTTAAAACACTGTTCGGAAAGCACCAGAAAACCGTTAGTAAGTACGACAAAGATTCCGGGATGTCATAAATCGGGATTACCGTCATTTCCAGAGCTTTTAATTGATGCCTAGATCCTATAAATCGGACACACCTCCGGCCCGCTAGAAGGGGGTACCTTTACGTACTCTGTACGTTTTTATATTGCTGTTCAGCTTCTGCCCATGCTACGAGGAGCTCGAGCTCGAGCCAGCGAGGGGGCAAGAGGTAGCCGATTATCTACTCTCGGAAGTGAATCGGCTTCTCGCCGATGGTCCCGATAAAGTATGCCTTTTTGGTAGCCCTCAAATTCTCCTGTTTTAGGGTAAATGCGCGGTGATGAAACTGGCCGAGATCCAGTCTGTGTCGGTGAGACTACCGCCTAAGGCTGTTATGGAAGAAAAGTAGAGGTTTTTTGTGTTGGAAGATACCTTTTGCAGTTCGATGGGAAAGCAGCCGCCATCTGGGGCGATAACGATTATCTACAGGTACTGGACTGTTAGCGGGGGGTAGAAATTTTTAATGTGCATGTAGGGCCTTACATAAATAAGACGGAAAATTTGCTTCCCGTCTTCTAAAAATCCCCCCTGCTAACCGTCCAGTACCTGAGCTTGTTAGGATCGCGTTGCGTGTAGCGCAACCATCAAACGCCCTGCTCGAGGCCGTCGTCTTCCGCGATTTGACGAAAAAGACCTGGAAAATCGATGGGGACATTGAGCGGAACAACAAGTAATCATCCTTTTTTGATACTTGAATTTTTCCCGCAATTCCAGATATGGCAACACTTCGGCGTGCGTCGTCGAGAAACAGCTGCTCAAACTGTGCCACTGCATTAACTGACCCTTCGAGATGTAGATATCTATTTTTTCGTGCTGGGTCGTTATCGGGGGGACCAAGGGCAAAAATCAGTGCGGAATTCATGTAAGAGCCTAGTATAATAAAATATCACGCATTGTTGTTGTCTTTGCTGTTTTCGACATCTAAAAGGTAGCGATCAAAAAAATGTAATTTTAGGAATTTTTACGAATTACCACCTTTTTCTAATGCGTGTACTATACTATTAATAATTAGTATTATTGAGATGCTGCGGGGCTGTAGAATAAGACCCATTTTGCCTCCCCCCACCCCCGATAACGATCCAGATCCTTCATTTGTAGATTCACTTTTTTGTAGTTGTGCTTGTGTGCTTTCAAGAAATCGCGTGGTGCTCGTGCTGTAGGGTAAATTGGTTTCTCCCGTTTTGATTTGAATAGCCATTGCAACGCATTCCGGAAGTGGCGCTGATTTGCCTGGGTAAGCTACTATAAAATAAGTCGATCCGAGGGCCGAAGTATTTCTCAACGCCTCGCAGACGTTCAGTCACACGAGCTCTTCCGCTCCACAGCTTTCTTCCGACGACTTACTGATCGGTGAGCTATTTTCGCGTTTAAATATGTTTCGCCGAATTTTATTTTTGCACGCTAATTTCATTTCTATGGGATTTGGACTTTGGCAATTTACGAAAATTTTTGCAAGATGATCGTTACCTTGCCAATTCATTTTTCGTATCATTTTTCAGCCAGTCGTGACAATGACTTCTCGCTTGAGCATCATCCTGCTCGTCGGCCTGCTCGCCATGGCCACCGCCAGGCTGCACCCCGACCACGTGGTATCCCCTATCCGCTTTTGATAGGCCTGTCATTTCCAGGACGACAAGACTGTCGCGGAGCGGCTGGCCGCTGGCGTCGACAAGGTCATGGAGCGTATCCGGCGTCAGGAGCCCCCGAATGATGCCCCCAAGCCTGATGCCCCCCCGAACGACGCCCCCAAGCCTGATGCCCCCAAGCCTGACGCCCCCAAGCCTGATGCCCCAAAGCCTGATGCCCCCCCGAACGATCCCCCCAAGCCGGATGCTCCCAAGCCGGATGCTCCCAAGCCGGATGCCCCCAAGCCTGATGCTCCCCCGAAGGATGGCCCCCCGAAGGATGGCCCCCCGAAGGATGGCCCCGAAGGATGGCCCCCCAAAGGATGGCCCCCCGAAGGATGGCCCCCCGAAGGATGGCCCCCCGAAGGATGGCGCCGAGGGTGATCCAGTCGTCGCCGCCTGGAAGAAGGTATCCTTTTACGTAATGAAGACATCAAATAAACCCTGGCCACTTCTAACCGCTTTTAACAAAATTCTGCAAAAACCAGGGTTGAAAAGCCGCTTCGCGACTTTTCAACCCTGGCCCCGTCCGACCCCTTAATATATGCTTCACTCTGAATACGTATTTCGAATTCCGATGAGAAAATGAAAAATGACGCTCTCTACCTGATTATATAGGCTACCGCCACTTCCGGTGTATGTTAATTTTTTCCTAACAAAGAGGGGTGTCCTATTTTTCAACAAAAACTTAATTTTAATGTCAAAAATAGAACAATTTGCACAATCTGATAAGCGCGCAGTCATCTTGGGGCCATTACGCACCTAATGGCGTATCAAATATAGCTTAAGGCTCTTCCCCTCTTAAGATATCCTCCGGACAACCTGACGGAAGTTGCATGCAAATGCACACACACAGACACTATTTTTTTATATATAGTAGGA